GCAGCGTTTGGCTCAGTTACAGGAAACAATTTCGATATAGGCGTTTATATATTTATTTGCATATTTATATATTCGATATCCACATAAAACCGTCAACTAATTGGCGATTATTTTATCGGCTATCCAGCGCATATAGCTGCCAACATTTGTATACACCGCAGGATACCCATCACCACAAATACGCGAACCGTAGCTAACTATACCGAACTGCACGTACCTTTGGTTCTCGTTATATTCGCTCAAATATAATAAAGGACCACCAGAATCGCCTTTGCAGGAGTCCTTACCAAGGTTACCAGCGCACAGTTGGGATTTTCTTATATCCCTTTGTAAGGACCTTGTGCACTCTTCGCGAGGAATCCTAGGGATTTTGCTCTCCATGATATTATCGGACATGAATACATTTTCAGTTTTGCCCCAACCAGTTACTTGGAACTCTTCCATTTCTTCTGGTTGTTGTTGGAGTGTTGCATTCACAGGCAAGCAGATAGGCCTAATATGTTCTGTGGCATATAAATCGGTTAAGAAATTGAAGAACTTAAGCTTGTTAAATAAAAAACATACGTTTGAACTCTACGTCCCTGGATAGCTTAACCAATGCTATGTCATTGTGTACAGATTCTCGCGAGTAATCCTCGTGCACAATGATCCTTTCAATCGATATATCCTCAACTGGGGGCGCGCATATATATCTTGATTTTACCCAAGCGCAGTCTGTTGCATTGGATATTTTGTGTTCCCCCAAACGCACATTTGATCTATGGTATAATTTTTGTAAGAAATGCTAGCATGATTATCAGGAATTACTTACAGGTCTCGACCAACAACACAATGCGCGGCGGTTAGTACAAAGCCTATGAATTGGATTGAATTAAAGATCATATTATATATTATAATAGACAGTTTCTTACGTTTAGTTATTAGAGTGCCACCACATTTAAATTCTTCAGCCCCGTTAATTTTAAACTTAAGTAGAGCCATCCAAGGTCTTGACATTAAATTAACTTCGGTTCCGCCGATTGTCTTTAATGTTCCACCAAAGTATCCACAATCCTGTTCCTTCAATAGTGCCATACCCGCACTCTCCTCTTCTTCGCAGCAGACATAACCCTATGGGATGGAGGAAATTCGTAATTTTGGGCTTTTCAAATTCGCAATCGATATTTATACAAACCCTTATAGGTGGACATTTTGAATTCATTAAGTAGTTTAGTTCAACAGTCGAAAGTGGTTTGTGCCGTCTAATTTCTAAAATCTTAGGACAATTTCTATATGGCTTACAATGTCCAGAAAGTCCATCGGATCTCGTACAAGCATCATCTTCAGAAAAAATTATGTTATGTGATGTTTAAGAGTGAACATATATATATATATATATATATATATATATATATATACTTACACGTGTCATCGGCTATTGAAGGCAGAAAAGCTGACGCCAAACAAAGAGCGAGAGCAAAGGCACGGATTATGTTCATTGCGAGTGGTTGCCCAAATTTGACTGGCTAAAAATCTCCAACGATTGGGCCTTATAAAGCTTTTGACATATTTTCAACACACTGGCTTATCAAGAATTAATGTTTTACCTAATTATAACACTCAATAAATATTTTATCCGAGAACATTTGTTATATCAAGAAATACACCCCAAAATATATTTTGTTTAATATGCTTTGCAGCTCAATTGGCTATTAATAAAGATGTTTGATAAGAATTTCCTAAATTTATATATGTACATTTGTATAAGTTCAGCTCGCTGAAGATATTCGGAAAATGTTGCCATGCAAAAACTAATTTTATTCCGATTCTTCCTATGGTGCTTTATTATGAAGTATTGTGATGTTAATAAGATTTTTAAGAAAAATAATACTATCAATAAATGAGCCGTTATAATGCAAAAGAGCTTTAAGCTTTAAGAGAAACGCGCTCAGTTAAAGCATCTTGTTTAGAGCTTTAATTTGAGGAGCTATTTTACATAAGGGAAACGCGCTTGATTAAAGCATCTTAGAGCTTAAAGCTTTCAGTTTTAAAGTTGTATCTTGATTCTATATTAAAGTGTCATGTTAAGCTGGTGTCATTGAGCCTACACTTACCCGACTCTCCACTGTATCTCTGCTTGCATGTGTTGGAACGTTGATGGCATTTGTCGATGCAGTTGCTCTGGTTGCTAGTGCTTTGAGAATGTTGCTGGTGCTTGACCCGAGCAACGTCCGCTTCGATCATCTACCGCCCTCTCCATTACAGCCTCTGCTTGCGTTACGAACCCCTGTGTCATGGCAAGACTAATTCAAACTGTTTGCCTTCTTCTCTTCTCTCTACGGATTTCCAAGTTCAAGCGCAAGACCATCGCCAACTCCGGCTCCTTTGACAGCTTCAATAAATCGCTGGAGCAGCCACTGCCGTAGGAGCAGCAGCCGGCAGCAGCTGAGCCCGCCAAGGCGCTGGCGCGCAAAAATAGTTTGGATGACACTGCGCTACAGAAATTGGCCGCTGCTGTGAGGTATTGCAACAGAAATTTAAAATTTAATAAAATATTAAGCTGTCAAATTAAATTTCTGACAGTCACTTACGATCCGTTATAAGAGTCCCAATAGAAGAATATGGTTCATGTGTCTTATTCTTATTCTTAATTAGTGCCATCCAGGGTCTCGATCTTTTTTTTGCGATGCCACAATTCTGTTGCTCCAGTCGACGCAGGCCCATCGGGGTTTATCTCTAATTAAGCAAATGCAACAATCGATTAGATGCTATATAGATGCATTTATTAACTAACCCGTAGCTGCAGCCATATTAGAACTGATCAAGAGCTACTGCCGCACATTTACAGATTGAGTTGGGACTTAAAGCGTCAGATGTGACAAGTCGTTGTAATTCATTTCAATATATTTGCATCTAGCATAGACATCAGAATAACTAGTTTTCAAGTTCAAAGTTCTTTGTGGCAACACTGAGTTGAGCCTAGAGTTATCGATATTGAGATCGAATGGTATCGTGAGCAAATCGCAAGCACGTCAACAATTCGCATCAACTGCAACTAATTAAAAATAAACCTTGTATGTTTAATAATAAACTAGTTATTCAGTAATTCACGCTTTGCTTTTGCTGGCGCCACCTAGTGAAATACGTATGAATGTTGCTCATGCTGGGCCTTGGTTTGCGAAGACAAACACGCCACCTAGTGGCAAGTAGTATTACTCTTCATAGCTCCATAGCCTTCCAAATTCTATTTCTTAAACACATATTATGAATTAACTAAATAATTTGAATAGTAGAAAGTAGTAGATAAGAAACAACTCGTAACACATTTATCACATCTCAATCGCCTTGACATAT